TAATTGGAGTTCTTCACATGTCAAAATCAGCCTCATTGCTCTCTTTTCCATATTTCTTGTTGAGCATCTGTATTGCTTTACAAAGTTGTTTCTCCTTGGAGAAAGCTATTGCTTTCAATCTTATTTTCGGTTTTTCAATTTTTAATTTTTTGAAAATTCTGTGTTGAGAATATTGGTGTTTTTCTTATCTCTTTTTGCTCTCTCCTTTGTGTTTTTTTTTCTTTTAAATAGTCCATAACTATGTGCACAATAAATGGGCCTGACAGTGGTAAGGATGTTATGAAATCCATGAAAATGTGCTCCAGTAAATGAATGGATATAGTGGTTTGTACATTATATGTAACTCCTGTTGCAGATGCCTAATCTCACCTCATTTTTCTTGGTTTTTAATTACAGGCAAATACACATGTAAACATCCACCAAGATCTAAAGGATGTCAAGCTCTGGCAGGTATTCATTATTGTTGTCTTGTGTGTGCCTCTGTATTTGTTCTTGATTATTCATACTGAATGTTCGTCATGTGTATATATATATATATTTTCTTTTTTTAATTTTCCCATTTAGGTTCATACACTTTTAAAAGGATTGGAGAAAATAGCTGCCAGTGCGGACATCCCAATGTTGGTGTGTGGAGATTTTAATTCCACTCCTGGAAGGTCTGTCTATTATTCTGATGTTGTAACTCATATAGGAGATTCATTTTATCTCATATCACTATGTATATGTGGCTTAACTGTAGATGCTTTTCGAACTTTCTTGCAGTGCTCCCCATGCACTTCTGGCAATGGGAAAGGTTGATCCAATTCATCCAGACCTGGGAATAGATCCTCTTACTATCTTGCGTCCTCACACGAAGTTGAATCATCAACTACCTTTGGTAATTTATCTGTATGATATTGACATGAATTAAACAACTTTAAGAGATTGATTGATTTACCTTTTTGTTTTTTCTTTGGGTTTACGGAGGAAAGTATAAGAAAAAGGCAAATGATGATTAGAAGTTTGTCGATTCTACCTGTCGTGACATTCTAAGTGTTTCAGGTCAGTGCATATTCATCCTTCGCAAGAATGGGTGTTGGTCTTGGTATGGATCAGCAGAGGAGAAGAATGGACCCTTCAACCAATGAACCCTTATTTACGCATTGCACAAGAGATTTTATCGGCACTCTAGATTACATATTTTACACTGGTGAACTTTCATAACCGTTTTGCTTTCATTTGCTTTACTTTTCTCTCCCTATTCTTCTGAGTTCTCTCTCAACGCATGATGTAAATTCTTAATTATAAACTTTCACTTTCAGCGGACTCTTTAACGGTGGAGTCCTTGTTGGAGCTCTTAGATGAGGATAGCTTGAGGAAAGACACGGCGCTTCCTTCTCCAGAGTGGTCCTCCGATCATATAGCACTTTTAGCTGAATTCCGCTGCAAACCTAGACCTAGACGTTGACACTCCAGGGTGCGAGAATTAAATTCTTTTTTGCTTTAAATTTTACCATAATAGTATCTCTCTCATAATCACACGTGCTGCGACGGACTGTTAGATGTGGTTCCTTAACGCCGATATGTTATTTGTGATCCAGGTTTTGGAGATGCACAAAGATAATATGGACAGAGAAGCTGATGATGGATAGAGAGATAAGTAATTTGTAAGAATTGTAGATCTTGCACGTGCGCTGTGTTCTTTCTCAGTTTATCATCCCCCCCTGCAATGATCTGCGTTGTATTATGCCACCTTTTGTCTCATAGAAAATGATTTTATCGAGTTTTTCATTCAATCTCATTGCGTCGCCTGCCTACCGCCTTTCTTTTTTTTCAGTTGCCGATAGAAAAGGGTCTAATTTAGTCACCATCTATGTACTTTTAATTTGCCTGCAAAGGAAAAGTGGTTAGTGGCATGCTATTGTATGCCCTCCCATTGATCTAGGGTTCCATGTTCCCTTGGATTTTGGTGCAATGCATTTCCTTGTGGTTGCTAAATCGAATAAGAATTTTCATCTTTTTTTTTTTTTTTTATTGATAATTTACTTTTTTCACTTCTGTTTGCAGCCCATGTGCCAAATCAACAACATTCAACTATTCAAGTTCTTGAAAATTATCAAAATTGGCAGCTAGGTTTGCAAAGCGAAGTCTTGATATTTTAATATTATTATGAAAATAATAAGAATAATATTTCAAATACAAAGTCTTTTTACAAAAAAATAAGATAAAAATGTGTATGAAGTGATGCGGTAAACAATAAATAGATGAATAAATAGAAAAAATCAATTCATTAATTAAGAATGATAATGCATCCGTCATCTAAAGAATAATGTTAGATCATTTTCTATATATATTTTGTAAGAAAATTTTGTATGTATAATATTATATAAAATATACACAATGATGTAAATTAAATTAGAAATTAATAGCACTTGAAATTAAAAAAATTGTTGTTCAAATCACTCCATGAGCATGATAAAAGGAGATGCCTTCAAGTGTTTCATTTATCAGTCATATAAATAATTTAAGATCACAAGCCTAACTTAACGTTGAATAAATGAACCACCCTTGGGTGGTCGGGTAGGACGATAAAGATTTTTGAGTGTATTACTTAATAGGTCTTGAGTTTAATTTTCTTCGGTTGTTAATGTGAGTGAACACTAGAGGATTTATCCGATTGTTAACCTTAGAGTCTCGAGGGATTAATCGAGGTACGCATAAGCTAGTTTGGACACCCCCGATTACCAAAAAAAAAAAAAAAAAAAAGGAAAGAAAGAAAAAACGTTGAATAAATGATTTAACTCCATTTTGTTTTGAAGATAGTTTCCACTTAACTGTAAAGGTCTCCGTAAAAATATATTATTAGGCTCACGGAAACAAATTTAATTTTTTTAGTTTTGATGATCTTAATCAATTGATGGAGTAAATTCAAGAAGTGCTAACTATTTATGTATTTTTAGTTTACCTAAAGTTTACAAAGTCAGTCAATGACTTTCATATTTTTGGTTATGACAATTTTAATTAATTAAAATATTGGAATTTAACAATAATTGAAGTTTAAATAATTTTTTTTTAACATAGTAATAAATATTTGAAATTTTAATAACTTTATTAAATACAATTACAATTATCCTTAATGAAATTTGATGAAAGTAATGATTGTTCACAACTATAAATCTCTGTTTTAAAACCCGGACCAGACTGGTCCGATTGGGACTCGACAGCTTCTCCGGTCCGGTTCAAGCTTTAGGGGGTTTATGTAATATTTCAAATTTATGGGGACAAATTGATTTTATAGGGCTGTTTTGGATATCTGTCAAAAGATTAGGGATTAATTGGTAATTTTGGGGTATTTTAAATAAATAAAAAATTTAGAGACTAATTAGAAAATTTTTAGAGGTATTTTTGTAATATATTACAATTTACGGGATTATTTATATTTTTAAAATAAAATTATTTGTACGTCATCGATCCAATCGTTGAACTAGTTACTCATACCCGTCACCTTACCAAGTTTTACAATAGGTCGGATTTTAAAACAATACTATAAATATTAATTTAGGCGCAAAGTGTTCCACACTTGGTGATTGGCCACTTTTTTTTTCTTTTTTTTTATTATTATTATGAGAGAAAAAAATTTCTTTCTTTTAAAATAGTTTAGTTTTTTTCTTGTTCTTTGTCATTTTATGAAAGATTGTCTTCACAAAATATTTATTGGGTCTATGTTTCATCTTCTTTGTTTCTATTTTATAACAACTCCATACTAAATGTTGAATGTTAGACAACTCAGTGAATGGAAGAGACCAATCCTACACAGTAGATTTTTGGAGATCCCAAAATTATTTTCCCTCTACAGTTTTAATAAGCTGTAAACTTTTTCTGCTTTTCCCATGAGCGGTGGTTGAGAAAAAAACAGTAAGCATTATTGATGAAAGTGACCAAGTTATTTTTTTTTTCAATTTTTTTTTTTAATTTAAACTATGGATGGACGTCCATTACAGGTGAACGACCGTCCAATAATCACAGACGTTCGTCCATATTTGATGGACGGCTGTTTATTCACGAAATATTTGTTAATATGTTACGTGGCTGCGTGACACGTCATTCAGTGTAAAATTTAGATATAAGTCTTCGATATCCGTAGCATTATTCTATTAATAAGAGTATTACGGCTTGGTCATTTTTCTGCAGACAAAAGTAACCATAAACATCCACTAATGCGATAAAAGTACCATAACATCTCAACAAAGGCAAGAAACTTGAAAGGGTAGCTAGATAGGCTTATGATGATTGAATTTGGAATTGGAACCACGCACCAAAAGTTATACCCATTAGAAAAGTCATAAAGGAATGCATGGTAATAAAGTTGGAATCCCGTGTCTAAAAGTTTGAAGCGCAATATCTCCTCTTATATAAAGAAGACTAATTAATTAAAATTCTTTAAATTTGTACTAATAATGTTAATTGATGTATATATGTTAACCAAAGATTCACATACAAATATTATGGATTTATTATTTAGGACCTCAAATATTATTGAGGTTTAAGCTATGACATAATTCATGCAACATTTCTTAACTAATAGACTTTAATTTTAATACGTTTAGTGATATTTAGGGTATTCAAATATTTGAAAATATTTAGAATTATTCTTTGATAATGAAACCTTGAAACCTCACGCAGTTTCACTCTCAATCTCAATCAACATATGCGTAAAGAACAAAGGAAGTGAAGAAAACTATAATTTAATTGACGTGGTTTCAGTCTCTAGTATGAATTCATTTTCATGCAGTCATTTTTCTTTCCATCCACCAACCTCTATACTAAATATATATTTAATAAAAAAAATATATTTTTAAACTTAAAATGATATATTAAAATTGCTTATTTGGTAAAACTTTAAATTTTGAGTTCTTCTAAAGTATATATAAAAATAATGTTTATAGATCAAATTTAATTAAAAATATGATTAGCAATTATAAATTTTATTGGTGTTTGTGTAACCATAAAAAGTTTATATAATAAACTAAAATTGATGTGAAACGAAATTTAAATATATAAAATTTTTTAGTCAAAATGGTAGCATAAATGTGAAATTAATATATGAATAGTTATGCTAATAGTATGAAAATTTAAAATTAATATCGTAGGAAGATGGAATTAGCATTAAACCATTCATTATATCAACAATTACAATATTAATTAATTAATATTTAATATTTATTTGGTAACATAATAAAAATGGTTAAAGTTACATCAATACCTTAACTATGGAAGGTTAGGTTAATTAATGGTTGTTATGTTATAGAAGTTAGATTATGCAATATGCATAAAGATGGTATTGGTAGGTTTAGTTGTGTTAATGATCTCTACTAGCTTACCTTTGTTATTATAAATGCATCTAGGCATTGGTTTTTGGAGGTGGAGATAGTCTACCGGCTTTTCTGGCTTGCCATTATATTCCTAGGATTAACTTGTTTCGGAAGTATTGTTCGAGATCTGAAGACTAGTCGAGGTATACGTAAACTGGTTCAGACATCTCCGATAAAAAAAAAACAATACCCCACTTAGCTTATGCACCACGCAGTCGGCAGACCTTCATTACAAATTTCATACACATGGATGGAACCATCACCCATTCAAGGACGAATTTTAGAGCATCAAATGGGGTGTTTATTATTATATTCCTCAATATTTTTTCTTATGTTTGTATAATAATTTTATATAAAATATTATTAACATATATTTGGTTAGATTTTTGAATTTTAATTTATAAGTTAACAAAATAAAAAAATAATAATTTTACATAAGTTTTAATTTACAAGTTAACGGAATTAGGTGATGTTAGAACTGAAGATTTTTATAAAAATAATAATTTATTATTTTCCACAAAAGTGTTATAAATGATAATTTAAGGCATGGATTTTCAACTTTGTAAATATAACATTAACATAAACGTGATTTCTTACTTTTGGATTTCTGTGAGTGATCAAGACGAACAATTATTAAGACAGTAAACTTGATATATATGAGGGATTTTAGCACATAACCGTTAATATATATGTGGTGTAATAAAAGAGATTTTTATTATATATCTATTATCTTGTCAACTCCTCCCATGCATTCCATAACAATTACAGAATAAAACTCCCTGAAAATGTTTTAAACTCAGAATAAAGAAAAATATATCTTAAATAGTAAAACAACTGAAGTATATATATTAAAAATTCATTCATCTTAGCGCCCAAGGAGGAAGAGTTGCGCCACAATGATGAAAAAGTTTCTTCATGGAAACTCCATGGAGAAAATGATGATTGTTGTTCATAGGACAGGGTAGAGTATGATGAACAAACGGTCATGTGATTGGTTTGAATCTTAGTAGTAGTTGGCTTTACGGTTCTTTAAACTCTAATAGCACCCTTTTCCACCTTTCTCACCTTCAAAAACTTAATTTTAAAATAAGTATCAGAAAGATTCTTAAGTTTTTGAAGGTAGGAAAGTGGAAAAAGGTGTTATTGGAGTTGAAAGAACTGTAAAACCAACTGCTACGAACTCTACACTATCCCATGAACCAACTTTTGGATAAGCAAAACGTTCAATAGAAGTTAATGATAAAGCTTTCCTTAAATTGAAATTAGTCATTAAGAGCATGCAATGCAAAGGTTGACGAATTCATGCAGAGTAGTGTGTAGAAAAAGAAAAGGAGTGAGATGGAGAAGAGGGGAATTAACCAGGTGATGACGCAAGTAGGTAATGAATGGGGCCGTTGATAGAGCGACACGTGGGGAACAGAAACGAAGGAGGTGTTGACACGTGGGTGGGGACTGTGTTATTGACACAATGATACAAATAGTGATTTTCTTTACACGATGAGTAACACTGTCCAGCCAGTCTCTTCCCACTAAACTTACATGATCATTATTTTCCATATTTGGTGGAGTAATTCCTCTTATATACAGAAGACTAATTAATCAAAATTCTTTAAACTTTGTACTAATAATGTTAATTGATGTATATAT